CTCACAGGTTAACTTGTAAACACCCTGTTTATCTAGCGGGTCTTCCTGGTTGTCTCCAAACCAAATTTGACAAGGGATGACGGAAATTCGTTCCATAATACATCATACACCCACCCTGTCGGAAACAACAACAACCAAAAAGGAAATATTTATGCCAGTCAGGCTTATTATTCCAAAACCAACTTACTATTGACTGTATACCAACGACGTTCACTGAAGATCAACAACACAAACGCCAATATTTGGTTTAATAAACAGTGTATTGCTATGAATATTATACCAAAGTACGCACAAATGAAACCGAAATCAAAAACAGCAGCGAGTCAGAAAATTGTTAGGAGAGCCGAGAACAACTACATCCAATGTGAATTAAAAAACTTGCACGCCAAAAAGCAACATACAAATGCGGAGCTATTGGCCATCCACCTACAGTTAGCGGAGCATCTGCCAATCCAAACTTTGATGAAAATAATAGAGAAAATAAAAGCCAATAATAAAAAACTCATGAAGAAGAAGTATGAAAGGTTGAACAAGAAACTCGTTAACTTGAGGGCGAAGAAAAGCAACCACAAAATCATGAAAGATGCAGAACAGAAATTCCACTCCCGATTTGTAAACTTGACGGAGGTTTACATCAATGAGCAAGAAGCAGAACTATTAAGAAAAGGCCTCAAACACAACATTGAAAGTTACAACCAAAAGAGGGAACTTGAACAAACTATCGTGGATACTGAAGTTATTATATCACGGCTTCCAACTGAAGAACAGGAGCACGCCAGACACATATGTCGGCACATAATTGAAAAAGACATAAATGCCAAGAAAACTAGGAAGCAGAAGAACGAAAACCAAACCATAAAAGGGCTCAAAGAAAAGCTAAGGGCAAACAATGTTATAACCACAAAAGCAGACAAAGGCAATACCACCGTATTAATTGATAAAAAAAGATTACATAGAGAAAACTGAAAGTCTAATAACTGAAATAGGGTGCAATAAATTGGGAAAAGATCCCACTGAAGAATACCAAGCAGCAATAAAGAATACCATAAAGAAAAGCACAACCATAATAAAGGATAATCTACCATATAGACTAACACTTATGAACCCGAGTGTCCCTCCGTTGATTGCCTTGCCAAAGACACACAAACCAGGCACCCCGATGAGACCTATTATTAATTACAAGTCTGCTCCCGGATACAGACTCTCCAAGCACCTAAAGACGCTGCTGAAGGATAGTCTGGATCTACGCAATAAATATACTGTTACAAATACAACGGAACTAATCGAGAAGATGAAATCGTTGAAGATCAACGAAAACACTAAATTCGTATCATTCGACATCAAGGACCTTTACCCATCGATACCAACAATAGAAACCATAAAGACCGTACAAGAAATACTGATGGGAAAAATGAAAAGAGAAGCTGTCACGGAAATAATAAACGCGTTGAAGGTCACATTAAAACAAAACTACTTCCGGTTCAACAATAAGATATATAAACAGATTAACGGGTTAGGAATGGGCAATCCGACGTCAGCAATACTCATGGAAGTATTCATGCAAACACTGGAGGAGAAATACATGAAAAACCTATCGACCAACCTAGGAGTAAAATTCTACGCGAGATATGTCGATGATGTAATATGTCTAATAGAGGGAAACAAAGAGAAACAGATACTAGACTATCTCAACAAACAACACCAGAATATAAAATTCACCATGGAAACGGAAGAGGAAAGAAAGATTAACTATCTGGATTTAACAATTAAAATAAACGATACCACGAACAAGATAGAGTTCGAAATATACAGAAAACCAACAGCCACAGACACAATTATACACAATAGCTCAAACCACCCACAGCAACACAAAAATGCAGCATTTAAACAACTAATAACGAGGCTTGAAAGGACCCCTCTAACAGAAGAATGCTACAAGAAGGAACTGGCTACAATATATGCCATTGCGGAAAATAACGGATATAGGAGAGGCCTGGTGGAGAAGTTAAGAAAGGACACAAAACCGAAAAAGACTAGCAAAGAGGAAAACAGTAAAAAAACTTGGGCAGCTCTAACTTACACAGGAAAGACATCTTACAAACTTGCCAAATTCTTTCATAAGTACGACATTCAGACATCATTTAAAACAAGGAACACAGTGGGAAATATATT